TGTTCTTCAGGTGTCTGATATTGGAAATGGTATCTTGCCTAGTTGAAGGAGCAAAGGATGATCTGCTTGAGAAAATTTATAATTTAACCATACATTCATTTCAGGTATTTTTTAAAGTTTGGAGAATACTTTTAATTGATCTTACTTTTTTCTTTAATTCTTTTGACTAACTATATAATTTTGTAAAATAATTTCATGTATGCTTTTGGTTTTACAGGAAAGTGATGAGAGTGTTCATCTCGAAGCATACAACACATTGAGAAAAATTTTGGAGGTCTGGATTTGTTTGAGATTTTTTTGTTTCATTTTCTCCCTCTTAGTCTTGTTATCTGACTATCTATGTATCTCTTAGAAAATCTAAGAAATATTTGATATCTTTTTTATATATCTATACTGTTGTAGTGTGTACCCTAGGTGCTGTTAGGTTTTATTTTTTCTATTATATGATTTGTTTTGTTATTTAGTTATGTTCCTAGTGAATGTTGTATTTATTGCTTTAATATATTAAATGAGTATAGATTTAAAAACGGGCTGAAATCCATAGGCCAACATGGCCCAACACTAGTTTGGGTCAGGATGGATTGGAAAAATTAGGAACATTTTAGGTATATAAAAAAAGTCACTTGGTTCACTTAGAACTTGACTCATTAGGCTGAACATGTGCTAACCGGACCAACTTGTGGGGATTTGGTGATGGTTGCACATAATGACAGATGGTTTCTTTTCATTTTGGAGAGGCGAGGTTTTCTTCCTTACTTTACACAGCAATTGATCCTTCTAATTTTTTGTTAATGGGCTACTGGCCCATTTTTTTATCTTGATTGGTTTCCTTAATGGGTTGCCACAAGGTGTCGCATTGATGGGCCTTCCAACACATCATGACGAAAACCCATGGTGGGCTGGGATTCAACCTGTTTTTGCAGTTCTGGGTTCATCATATCTTCCATGTTTTTCTCTCTTTCAACTCTGTCTGTCTATCTCAGTATTGTTGCTGAATGATGCAGGAGAATCCATGCTTCTCTTCTTCTCGATACGTTGAGCTAATTGATTTATTACATGGATTAAAACCTCCAACTGCAATTACATCTCTTAGAAGTCGATATTCTTGTTTTCGCCTGCTGATGGTACATGCAATGAAGGTCAGAATTCTCAGTTATGAATTATGATAATGTTTCATTCTTATTTAAAATTTATCATCTTAGATATGTATGACATGGTTCTATAAATTTTTTGGCGACTATATTGCAGAAATCTATTTTAGCATCCAACTCCTTATATTGTTTAGTCCATGTGTCATTTTCAATTGACGCTGTATTTAAACTCACCAAAACTGGATAACTAGCCTGACTGCTTTGTCTATTTTGGTTCTAGTTCATTTATAGCTTCACATTCAAGATTTAACTTGATGTCTTTATCTTTGACTAATGTACATCTACATTTTTTATTTTTTTTATTAAAATAATTTTAAATGCCAATTAAATTTTTTATTGAGTGCCATAAACTTTTTAAATAAAATTAACCGGCAACCAACTTGCAGCATTGAAATTGCTGTGATTGTTTCCAAAAACACTTGTACGCAGTAGGTTTTCAGAGTAGTTACAAACATTCTTATATAAGTTTATATGATTATGTCTCTAAAGAAACTTCTGTTGCAATTTCTTTTCCTTTGATTGTTGAAATTACAGTGAGGCTGGTTTAGCAAATGTACATGCCACTTTTGTTAGATATATGCATGGTTTTTTCCTTTTAGTATTCTGTGAAGAGCCTTTCAAAAGTTATAGCATATTAGACATGTTTTCTTACTGGGTTTTGCTTGTTAGTCAAGTTATTTTGACTATCTTTGTATTTCTTGCTCTTTGGTCTTTGAAGGAGGATGGGAGGGGTGCATATAATTTATATCCAGTCGTAATATTGTACATTATTGAGTGGTCATTTCTTTTTTTATATATATACGTGTGTGTATTCTGCAGGCTAATTTAGAAGAAGAGGAGAACTCAAAGGTTTTTCTTATTCTCAATGAAATTATTCTCAAATTAAAGGATGTAAGTATATGAAATACTTGCCATTCATATTCTTGAAAGATCTTTGGCTTAGATTTAGTACTGATTTATGTCCAATGGTTCTGTTTAGGGCAAGGATGAAACTAGGAAAGAAGCATATGATTTGCTCTTAAATTTAAGTTCTACCCTGAGAGACTCATTATGTGTTGGTTCTATTGAACCATATCACAAACTAGTTAGCATGGTAAGTCCATGCATGATTTCAATTTTGTTTTATTCAGAGGATCACTAAGATTTGAGCTACTAACTAGGCTGCTCCTAAATATGCTTGTGGGATATCGCTCTATTAAGTATCGAACTTCCCACGTTTATCATGCTCTATTTATGTTTTTTTTTTATATAAGCTAACAATCACGCAATCAATGCTGTGTCCATTCTGTGAGGTGGAAACGTGTCAGTAACTTATACTCTCATATACTCTCAATATACAGATAATGGGATACCTTTCTGGATCATCTCCTCATATAAAAAGTGGAGCAGTGTCTGCGCTGTCTGTATTGGTATACCAGGATACAAGTCTTTTAATATCTGTTTCAGGCCTTGTCCCCTCTCTTTTATCTCTGCTGCAAACCAAAGATGTGGAAATCATAAAAGTGAGTGTTATACTTTTTTACGATCATATTTTGAGTTTGAACATCTTGCTGTTATCGTTGTTTAATTTTACATCTGTAATAGGCTGTCTTGGGCTTTGTTAAAGTGATGGTATCTAGCTTACAAGCAAGGGAGCTGCAGAATATTCTGTCAGATGTTATTGCTGAAATCCTCCCCTGGTCGTCTGTCTCAAGACATCATTTTAGATCAAAGGTATGAACAATATCTAATGTTTAGCTCGGTCTTAAACATGCTGGTGTGTGCTAAATTAGATGAACATGCACCTGCACAACATGAACACATTGATCTGCATACTTTACAGATCTATCGGAATAATGTGTTTTTATTTTCTGCAGGTCACTGTTATATTTGAAATATTATTACGGAAGTGTGGTTCTGCTGCTGTCAAACTGGTTACCCCAGAGAAATACAAGTTTTTTCTCAAGACTGTTCTAGAGGTACTGTTTTTAGTATTGATTAAAAGATTATGATTGTAATGGTTCTTCTATAGTTTAAGTTTGGTGTCGGCCTAGCTATGTTACATACAGAATTGTATGCAAATCCATGAAGGTCAGCAAATAGTAGCTTAAAAATTCATATCAAGATTGGGCTTTTGAATGATTAGGCTTGTGCTTTAAAGGATAAAAATTCAAGCAAATTTCAGTTCTTATTTAGCAAAGGTTATACCTGCTCTCCTTTTGGTTCCTATTTTTCCCTACTGTTTTCTGGGATACATCAACTCTTATTAGAGTGATTTTTGTCAAATTGGTAGATTAATTGTTAAATTTCTTTTTTAAAATTAAATTGGTTGGAGAAATTGTTAAATTAAAATATGTACGAAGAATAACAAAGATTAAATTTCTTCTCATTATGAAAGCTAACAGCACGTTTAAGGTTCCTTATATCCGTTAGTTTTATTTTCATCTATTCTCATTTTCATCTGGGATATTTTATGCCTTAGATTTTTTTTATTAATATTTGTATTGTGATTCCATCGGATTTTTTAAAGTCAAGATCAATTAGGAAACTCCGTGGCTAAAAGAATATTCACAATAAAACTTTGATTAATCATTTGTTGGTTGGTGGGAAATTCTTTTCTCCTTTTTCTTGCTTTGGATTTTGCACTACTTTCTAGCTCATTTTAAACTTGTAATATATGTAGATGGTGTACTGCTTACTGATTGTACAGATTTGATAAAAGTTTATATTATGGTGTCTATTGACTTGCAGAATCGGCATGGCAAATCAAGTGAAGCAGTCACTAAAGATTCAGAAAATATCCCTCAAGATTCTTTTACCAAGAGGTATATTTAGTTGCTTCTGAAAAAAATGAATTGAGTTTTTGTTTCTTCGAAGCTGATTGTGAGTCCTCTTTTTTCTCACCCTTTTTAGGCCAGAGTGGAGGAAGCCTGGAAGAGCAGCTACCCCAGATAAAGATTCAATAAAGAGCAACAAAAGAAAGAGAGACAACAAATTTGAGACAGTCAAGCCTGGCCAAAAGGAACCATTTAAATCTACCAGTAATGATGGATTAAGTTTACCCAAGAGAAGTAGGCCAGAAGAAAGTAGAAAAGGCAAGAAAAGTGGGAACAAAAGTTTCATTGGTGGTGGTGGGAAGAGAAACGTGAAGATGTCCAGCACTCAAAATTTTAAAGCACCTTCGAAGTCACACAAGCTAAAAAGGAAATTCCAAAGAAATTAATAGATGAGTCGAATACTGAAGCTGGTGAAACACTTCTTAGATGTCATACTCCCTGATTGTGTAGGGTTGACAGTGCCATTTTATATATGTAACTGCATATATAGCTTGGGAGATGAAAAGTGAAGGATACAGGATTTCTTCTTTCCTGTTGAACAACCACTATAGAGAGGAAGTTGTCACTTTATTGGGATGACATGCTGGAATCTACTGATTGAGAAAATGAAGTTCTGCTTACTGCATGCATTTTTGTTGCTGGAGTAGTTATGTTTTTGGTGAGCGAAGCTGCAGTAATGGATGTATTGTCGTGGTTGATTATGTAAATGGCTACGTGTTGCTGCCATCTTTTGCCCTCGGCAGGATTTTTCCCAAGGTGCTAGTTCTCACTAGATATTGTATGTCTTAACGAAGGATACATTGACCTATTTTCCATATATTTGCAAAGTTGTCAAACATAATGCAAGTGTCGTACTGAACGTGGCACACACAGTCACACGTTTTTTAGTGGGGAAAAAAGTAAGATAAAAAAAAAATGTCCATCAAAGGACAAATTTCGTAGTTTGTAGAAGCTATAAACGAGTTCGGCAAAAAAGAAAATTAAGTGATATAAAGAACAAACTTCAACAAAGGCTTCGTGCTTGTGTCTCTATTATCATAATATTGAACTAGTTATGTCTAATTCTATTGTGTTTATCTCCGTTTGAAGAAAATTATAAAAATGTACTAGTTATGTTAGTTTGATACGATTTTACCGTCAAGATATCTTACTCGTTTGACACAATTTTTGGCACTTTTTTTTTTTTTAATTTTCATTGAAGTTGTGTAGGGATAACATGGTTTTAGTTGTTTATACAATTTTTTTTATAAATTATTAAAAATGGTTAAAAATTGATTTTTGTCTCATTTATATATATATATATTTGATAAAGATAGGCATTATTTATTGGAATACTTTCTAACATAAATAAAACTGACAGACAAACGCTGATACCGAACCATAAAGAAGATGAAAGCAATGTAGTGCACTAAAGTTGAAGATGAGAAACAGACATGGGGTGGAAAATTGGGTCATTCAGCAATGCATCTTACAGTTCTGGCCACAAAATGGCAGACACAGTCCATGAACCATCACCCTTGGCACTTAACCTTTGGTTCATGTATCCAACTCCTACCCTTGGAATGCTAGTGTAAACTGTCCCTAGCAAGGGTCTCCCAAATCCAAAGTCAACCTCAGTAACAGGAAACCTTTGTCCTGAGGACACCACTAGGGTTGGTACTTGTTCACCCAACACTGCCTTTGCTAGCATCAAACCAGGCCTATGACACTCAATCCAATCAATCAACTCCAAAAAATGATCCTCATTGTTTACCTTTGAAATTGACTCATGCACTGTGTTAGCAATGTCTGATATAGACCCTTTTTTCAATTCTTCAATACTTGCCTCCCCAAATGCCACAGACAGCACATTACCAATGTAATTTGACATCAAGTTCTCACCTCTTCCCATCCTTTCTCTTCCATCCACCAACCAACCCATCTTGCACTTTTCATGCCTTTGATCAATGCTACCAATCATTATCTTCCATACATACGCGGAGAAAGCCTCAATCTTTGTTTTCTTGACTCCATTCCCAGAAGCAAGTTTCTGCAGCATGTTGATGCTTGATGCTTTGATATGATAAAGGCGTTTCAGTGAGATATGGTTCATTGGCATGATCTGTATCTCTTCCATGGTGCACCTCACAAAATTTTGATCCAACGATGGTTGATAATTGGGAGAAGAACGTGCACGAAGGTGTCTAGTATGGTCTGGTATGCAGGAGAGTGGTTTCTTTTGAGCCATTTCACACCAGGAAGCAATGAACTTACCAAAGGAACTGGCATCACCTAATGCATGATCAAAAGTAAAGGCTATAGACATACCTCCACATGAATATTCAGTCACCTGAATTTGCGTGGGGAAATCTGGTTCAACTGAGACTACCTTATCTTGAAGAGTTTCATTGAGATCATAAAAATCTACACTCTTTAATGGGGTATCTGTGTGTGCTTCAATGATTAGAGCACCATTGTTGTCACATATGATCTCAGGCTCACTGGTTTTGGGATTTTGAACAATTTGGCCAGCAAAGGGATAATAGTGATCAAGTATTTGTGCCAGAGAGCTTTTAAGAGCATCAACAAAAGCCTTCAAGTTATCTGATTCTGGTTTGCGGTAGAAATACAAGTATGTAACAGGAAAACGACCTGAAAGCAGGTCAAGATTTGAGAGAGTGATTGAAAATGGTTCTTGTGGAGGATTCAGTGCTTTCACAACACTTTTCCTACTCACCTTAACTACAAAATTTTCTGGGTTTTTGAGAATGTCTGACATTTTTCAGAGGAGGATAGTGTTTCTCTCTGATATGCACTAAGGTTGGAAATGCATTTGAAATAATGAAACTTGGTATATAGCAGTTATATAGTATATTTTTACAGTGAAAGTTGGTGGATGTTGACATCAATGCTTCAGTGCTTTCTCATCACACATTATTGAATGGAAGTGATAAGTTGGCCATGATACCATTACCATGTCTCATGATTAAGAGCTGATATCATGAGTTTCGATGCTTATTTCAATCTTTGGTCAAGTTTGGTAGGCAACATAATTGTGGAAAGTGGTACATTTGAATGCATTCTTCAGTTAATCGTCTTCTGACAGTTTTTCTTTTCTCTGTTGTTGGACACCAGTTTCAACCATCTATAATTCTCTTTTGAATTGTAACATGTGAAAACATTGCTTAACTACAAGAGTAAAATACTCATGTTTTTTTTTACGTTGTATACAAACACAAATGTCTATTTTTTATCTGTTACAAAAACCTTCCTGAGAGAAAACACACAATCATTTATAACTATCTATAAAGGTGATATTTTCTTATAAATATTTGTAATAGCTATTTTAGTGTGTACATTTCAATACCAATTTTATCCTTATTAATATAAGTTAATTTATTTGTTCTTTTGATTTTGATTTTTTTTAAATTCAATAACTACTCCTAAAAATTCTACATACTTATGATAGCATCATAAGCATTATTTATTCTATACTTACTTTATATTTTTATATTTTTTATAAATTTAATAATAAAAAATAATCTTTTATTTTTTATTATCAAAAGTAAATAGACACGCATAATGCGTGTATTTTTATTAGTATAAATAAAGACGTTTTGATGTTTTTAGAATTGTTTGAGCTGGGTCACATAAGTGAAGGAAGATAATTTTAGTTATTTTATGTTTTAAAATTATTTAATTAACTGAATGTGGCTATGATATTGTAATAATATTATTAATTATTTAGAAGTAGAAATCTTTATTTGTATATGTAAGTTGTGTGATGAAATTGGTAATATTTTGTGAATGATACTATAAATATAATGAATTGAGCTGGTTGATATGTTTTGTGATCTATAAGAAGCATTAGATTTTTTTGATATGGTTGGAATGGTATGAAATTAGTAGGTTTTGGTCTTCTACATTATGCAGACGACTCACTAAGAGGATTGAGTCGTTAGACGACGTTGAAGTCAAAGAGTTTATTGACTCAATGGTTGTTGAAAGATAATATTATTGTTGGACAACTCTAAAGTTAAAGAATTCACTGACTTGGCTGTTATTGGACGTTGTCCGTAGTTGTTGGACAAGTTCTGACATATTAAATCCTAGGAGCTTCAATTATCCTCTCGTTTGAACGACTACTAGATTTATTGTGCACTTAGGTTAACATTGCATGCTACTTTTTGAAAGTCTTTTACAATTTTTAAAAAAAAATTAACAATCTTTTATTAACAATAAGCCAATCAAATAGTTTGATTCAGATTTTATATGTAGATTACAAAAGAACCAAATCATATCATATTTAGTTGTAGTGATTATTTAATAAAAGTAGTAACCAATAATGAAAAACACCTTTCTTACTATGCCCTTAGTTGTGTATACATGAAGTGATAGTGGAAGGTGATGTTTCTTATCTTATGAAAGGCTGAAATTGGCGTGAAATAGGGAAATTGAAGGTTTGTGTGGGCACGTTCTTGATTTTAGACACCGTTAGTTTTTTCATGTGTTAAGGGAACCCTCATTCAAACTACTCCATATTGCACAACAAACTATAGTGCTTGTCAGTTCACAACTTCAAATCATGGACCACAAACATTCACATTCTCATCTTATGCTTTCCACCACTTTTCCCCAACCTTTCCAATTTCTTAGATATAACTTTCTCTTTTCCTTTTCACCACTATCTAGGGTTCCGCCTTTTTAGGTTTACTTCATTCCAACCTCCATCATATAGTTCGTCATATATTAAGACTATAAGTGTAATAAATTCTGATAGGATTAGTATAATTGAATGGTGTAATAAAATTAGTTAATAAAGGTAAATGTGTCTTGATTTTTTTGGACACTTTTCCACCACCAGTAGCTAAGCTTACTAGAATGGTGATTTTGTTGGCTTTGACATATGCCTACAATTGGCATTTACATCAATTTATATGGTTTCAATAAAGCAGGCAAGAAATGGTATGAAAAACTCCATTGTCAAACTCAAAAATTTACGTAAACGTGTAAGAGTCTAGTAAATTTTCTTGTAAATTCGATCATAAATTTGTAAACATTTACTTTACATGAATAACATAAGGTTACAAAATTATACAAACGGAAAATGGTCTGACCCTTTTACTATTCACTTTCAAAAATGGGGAAGATTTTCACATCTCTTTTCGTCTATGTAAATGATGTGGTTCTTGCAAGCTATTTTGATTAATTCACCATAATAAAGTCTATTCTTGAGTCCAATTTGAAAATCAAGGATTTAGGTCCTTGTATTATAGAGGTGGAACATTCCAAACTGGGAATATCAATCTAGAGGAAATATTATTTAGATCTTCTAATTGAATCTGGTCTACTTGGATCAAAGCCTGCCAAAACTCCACTATTCAGTTTATATTAAGATGCAAGTAAGTAATATGAAGATGTAGCAACATATAGATGATTGACTGGCTATCTTCACTCTAGAAAATTCATTTCATGATATCGCTTCTTTTTTAGTTCATCATTAATTTCTTAGAAAGCAAAGAAGCAACAAAGAGTTTCAAAATCTTCTTCTAAAACTGAGTACATGGCACTTTCCACTGCTACTTGTGAGTTACTAGTGGCTGTTATTTCTTTTATGTGATCTAAACATTGTTTATTTTATTGTCATAATCAAAGTGATCATCTACACATAGCCGCTGCTTTTTGTATAAATCAACAAAACATATAGAAATTAATTGTTATTTTATTCTAACCAAGTTTGAAGATCACATCAAACGTTTACTACCAATTTCGTTCAAAGAGTATCTAGCCGATTTTTCACAATAGCTTTACCTCCTCTAGTTTTGCACTCCATTCATTCCAAACTGGGCATGGTTTATATTTACCATGCTCCAATCGAGTCAGAGGTGTTATATTACCAAAATGTTGAAAGAGCAAAAACAATTACTAAAATGAGTAAAATCGAGTTTTTTTTATAATTGACTTATCTGATATCTTATGATTAACTATAGTTAAAGTTTCACATCAACTATAAACAAAACCAATTTAAAATATATAATGCAAACTTTAGTTTACACATTTATTTTGTAAGATTGAGTTAGACTAAAAGTTTATTTTTTAACATATATATTTCGATAGAAAAAAAATGTATTAGCAGTCTCATATCTATTAGAAATAAAACAAATGTAGAATATATTTAAAAATATAAATTTTATTTTACAAATTGATTTTATGGAATTTACTTAAACTTAAAATCCACGTTTTAACAAACCATAAAATATCATCATAAATCTATAATGATAGGAAATGTAAAAATGATTTTGCCATCACTTAGATCAGCTATTTGTTGTTGTTTTTAACCTCTGTTTGTCCTTGAACTTGTTCCAATGTTATCCGAAACAACATTGGTTTATGATCAAGTCCTTCTGCCTTTGCACATGAATATTTGGTGACCAAATCGAGCAAGTCCCTGCACTTGGTATTGATGGTTGTAAGGTCTGAGTGCAATACCTCATTCTCCTTCTTGAGTCGCTTGTTTTCATGCATCAGAACTGCATAATTTGAAGAAAAGGTTGATGCTAAGGACCTTTGATCTTCATCTGAGTCTTGTGGTCCATGTTGCTTCTTGCTCACCCATGATTTTTTACGTCTAATCTCGCATAACAGTTCTTTCTCACCCTTTCTGAATCGCTCGTTGCAAAATTCCCATCTGCTTGTTCTAACTTTACGAAAACCCTAAATATGGATCATCAATTGGTGCATGTGTTTTTGGAGTTAACATGTAAAGTTATTATCTCTAACAAATCTAATTAACGAAACTACATTTACTTTTTTAAATTAAGAAAAAACATTCAACAATTTTTATAAATATTAAACTAAAAGATCTATTAAGTAAAAAATAATAAAATGTGATAAGAAGAGATATATAATGAGAGATCATTTTTTATTTAATGTTAATTTCATCGTACAAAATTGACTATGAAAGGAAAGACATGTTTTACTTATGTATTTTATCTTGATTATATCATTAAGTATTTTCAAAGTTTTAACCTCATACATCTTACGTAAACAAATTAGTTATCTCAAACATCAAATATATTACATTATACATTTGTAAGTGGTTTCATCATGGACCAATGATCCAAGAAACTCAACAACAGTCATCTAAAAATAAACTTCAATAAATTGGTATATAATATTTTTTTACCACTTTCATATTTTAGTTTAAGTATATAATTGATTAGGTTAAAATTTATAATATATATATATTGATATAAACTAACACTCCTTTTTCTTAGGACACTAACACTCTGAAGTACAATATATTAATACATTCCTCGTGTGTATAATATAGTAAGTATATCAATTTATACTATGAAGGTTAGCTATCACTAGCTGTAAAATGAATTATCTATTGGTACAATGGATCATATTGTTAATACCTAATACATACAATACCTAACTATTTAGTTTGAGTAAATATTATCTAAAGAAAGAGATATAATATTTTTATGACAAAATATTTAATATTTGTTATCTAAGAAGGTGGAGATATAATGCGAGGAGATAAAATATAATGTCAAATCTTTTGATTATGTCATTTTTGGTAATATAAATCTAGAGGCCACCTACCATAACTCAGGTGGTTGGTATAAGTAACTGAGTAAGGTGTTCATTAATAAAGGTCATCAATTCTAGCTGCCTAATTTCTTTGAAAATACACCAAAACAATCGTCCCTACAACTTGAAATTATATTTTATTTGTCAAGTACAATTGTAAAGAACAAATCTATAAGGTCACTAGATTATAGTTTTAAATGGTTTTGATCTCACCATTTTAAAAAAAATAAAAATAAATTATAGATGAATATTAGGTAGTTAGACACTAGTTAGTCTTGGAAGTTTCATTCGACTAGAGACAAGGTCACTTTATAGTTTATAAATGGATGCAAACTTTACCTCCGAGATTGAATTAAGTTTAAAGTTCACTTTTAACGGTTACACGTGAAGATTGATAAGACATACTTAATGAATATAATTAACTTTGAATGTTTTTGTATGGATATGACACATCAACATTAATTGTGTTAATGTTTCATTTTTTAATAGTTACATTACATTAATATATTCTATTTCTAAATTAATGTTGGTTTAAAATAAAAGAATTTAATTTTGATACATTTTAAATATAAAGAGTTTGTTGATTTCTTAAAAGTAATTATAAATATAACTTTTATTTAACAATATTATCGTACATAAATACATACTTGAACGAGAGTGTGAAACAACTTAAAGTCGTTTTAATTAAATTAAAGTAAAATACTTAAAATTGAATATATGTAATAGAATAATACAATTAAAATAATAATACTAATAATATTTAAAATTCATAAAACCCTAGTTAAAATAATATTTAGTTTAGCCAAAAGGACTACTTTGACTATAGTATTATATAAAGAATTTTTTCAGTGGTCCTTTTGATCCAACAATATTTTAATTAAGACACTAAACTTAATACTAATTAGGTCAAACAAATGCAGTTAATATGTTTCTATCATCAAGAACTCATGGAAACAAATAAAATTATCTTTATTTCTTTATTCGCTAAAAGCTTCTACAGTGGTCAACTTATTCACCAACCATCGATAGCTACGTTCCTTTCGCTTTTATTCAACTCATTCTTCTCTTATTTCTAAATTTGATGTTCTTCGTGTTGTTTTAAACTGTTGTAATAACTAAATAATGCTATAAATTTACTTAAAATTTTGTTAATATAATAATACTTCACTTGTTCCAAAATAACAGTTTTAATTATACAAAAAAAAAAAAACTCAAAATACATTATTAGTAACACATTTTCTAAGACATTCTCACTAATACACATTTTATGATTGATTCAAAGATATTAAGCTACTAAGACTTAGTTAGTGATTAGTAAGAGTTAGTAAAATTTATAAAATTCAACCAAAATAGTAAACTGTATATATATACTCTCCCTCTATAACATCTGTAATTTCAGCCATTGAAAAAAAATACAATAATTGAGTAATATTTAGAGTTTAATGTTTCAAATTGATTCATGGTCTTCTTAAAATACAGTATTTTTTTTTCATTGAGAAAGTGATGTATATTATTTAATATTGTTGTCATAAACATGTGTGAAAGAATGTTAAACTAGAATAATTGACTATTAACAGCGGAAGTGTGTGTGCATGTTGTTGCTAATATTTGTGATACGGATATTAAGATACGTACATAAGTATTGAGCTGGCGAACAAAGCTAGAGAAGTTGCAATGGTTGAAGAGAGTTGGAAGAAGATCACGAGCAAACTCTGCAGGTTGCAACACCACAAACGTTGTTCCGTCATCATTCCACGACACAACATCATTGGTCGTAGGATCCTCAACCAACATATATGTCTTCAACAAAAAGGGTGCTGTGGAGAATTTTCTGACACACTCCAACGACCCTTTCTCCATTTTTGAGAATGATTTGAGAAGAGATTGAAGAAGGTTGATGAGAGTTTGTGATCAGAAGAGAAGAAGGGCAGTTATGAACTCCCAATCCCAGCAGTAGAAACCCAACACGACTCCACAGTTCATGAGAAATGCAAGACCTTCTTCCTTCTTCTCTCTCTCTCTCTCTCTCTCTCTCTCTCTCTCTCTCTCTCTCTCTCTTAAATAATCCCTCCGCTACATGTATTACTACTATATACAACTCTTTCTCAACAAAATTTCTTATTAATATTATAATTTTATTTAAGTATGATAGGTTGAGATAGTAGTTGGACATTCGTCATTGGGAAGATGACCTATTCCGTAGAAAATAATTTTATTTATAAAAATTCGTTAATTAGCTTAGCAGAAATATCGTAATAATTGACATCATAAAAGTAAAAAAGAAAAAAAAAATATATTAATTATCATAGACATTTAAGATATTATTAACATAAAAAAATTAAGTTTTCTATCAATTTTATTGATCACTTAAAGTGATAAAAAAAAAATAAGAAGACTGTTCTAATATTCAGTTTGAAAAATAAGAATTTAAGTAATAAGTCAGGAGGACATGTTATCCTGATACAACTAAAATTGAGTTTTTATAACTTAAAACTCCAAAAGATTCTCACAAAAAGAAATTTCATTTTCTCATTAAATTCATATATACATCATTTATATTATAAACAACATCATTTTATATGATGAATTAGGTAAGTCTCTCTTAATTCCATTTTTAAATAACTACTTTTTTATAGGATGAATTAGGTAAGACCCACTAATATTATTTAATTCCTATTACATGAATATTTACTATAGTTAATTAAAACTTATGAAAAAAAACTCAAAATATTCATCAAAATTGTGATAAAAATGATGAAGAAAATTCAAAAGACTCTTTATGATCATGTTATTATCTTTTTATTCACCTATATTCGTTCTTAAATGTCCAGAATATATTTCTTCTAAGGAAAGATAATACCATATTTAAAAATAATTTTTTATTAGTTTTCCAATTGAGAATTCGTGCATATACCGTTAATTAACTCACCAAATAATAGGTTGTTGGAACTTCTCACTAAAAGCACTTCTTCAAATGGTTATGGAGAAAAGAGTAATATCTATATAAAAAGTGTGGTAAAAAGCTGACAGAAGAGTATTTCCTAAGGCGTGTACCTTAAGGACTTATCTGCGATGTATTGTGCAAGTCCTTCAAGATACAATCGAAACTTCCCAGAACATTTCTGAGGGTCTCAGAACTAGCAAGTATATCTAAAAAGAGTATAAAAAATAACTCAGAATAATTTTAGAAGAGGAAAAGAGAAAAATGATGAAACTAAGAAGAGAAGAAGATGAGAGAAGATAGATTTTTGGTGTGTTTTGGAATGGAGGAAGAGCTCTCTATTTATAGAGCTAGGGAAGAATCAAGAAAATAAAAGAAATTAAAAATCATAAATGATTTAATTAAAAATTTTAACGTTGCATAATAATTGTTTCTTTTTCTCGTTGCCAACATTCTAAAACAAACGTTCAAAAACGTTTTAACTTTTGCAATGTTGTTAAAATATTATAACAATCCCCCACATATTGCAAAAAAAGTTGAAAGAAAAAGTCTTTGACTCAAATAGTTCAAACACTAAAAGAAAGATAAGAAACTTTTATCCTGGGTCTCATAGGATGTAATGCATCCAAACTGGTAGAGCAAGCTATATGAACCAGTCTTATATTGAGATACTTAACACATAATGTAGTTGGTATAACAAGCTATATGAACCAAAGACACTTAACGTGTGTTAGAGGTTTATCAATCACAATACACTCCCACAATCTTGCTGTTATTGCTGTGTTGCGCTTATTAGGCCATGCGCGTGCCCGATATTCATGAGTGCTCTAGAGATCATGCCAAGATCTCNAAAAATTACATGAATAACATAAGGTTACAAAATTATACAAACGGAAAATGGTCTGACCCTTTTACTATTCACTTTAAAAAATGGGGAAGATTTTCACATCTCTTTTCGTCTATGTAAATGATGTGGTTCTTGCAAGCTATTTTGATTAATTCACCATAATAAAGTCTATTCTTGAGTCCAATTTGAAAATCAAGGATTTAGGTCCTTGTATTATAGAGGTGGAACATTCCAAACTGGGAATATCAATCTAGAGGAAATATTATTTAGATCTTCTAATTGAATCTGGTCTACTTGGATCAAAGCCTGCCAAAACTCCACTATTCAGTTTATATTAAGATGCAAGTAAGTAATATGAAGATGTAGCAACATATATAGATGATTGACTGGCTATCTTCACTCTAGAAAATTCATTTCATGATATCGCTTCTTTTTTAGTTCATCATTAATTTCTTAGAAAGCAAAGAAGCAACAAAGAGTTTCAAAATCTTCTTCTAAAACTGAGTACATGGCACTTTCCACTGCTACTTGTGAGTTACTAGTGGCTGTTATTTCTTTTATGTGATCTAAACATTGTTTATTTTATTGTCATAATCAAAGTGATCATCTACACATAGCCGCTGCTTTTTGTATAAATCAACAAAACATATAGAAATTAATTGTTATTTTATTCTAACCAAGTTTGAAGATCACATCAAACGTTTACTACCAATTTCGTTCAAAGAGTATCTAGCCGATTTTTCACAATAGCTTTACCTCCTCTAGTTTTGCACTCCATTCATTCCAAACTGGGCATGGTTTATATTTACCATGCTCCAATCGAGTCAGAGATGTTATATTACCAAAATGTTGAAAGAGCAAAAACAATTACTAAAATGAGTAAAATCGAGTTTTTTTTATAATTGACTTATTTGATATCTTATGATTAACTATAGTTAAAGTTTCACATCAACTATAAATAAGACCAATAAGACCAATTTAAAATATATAATACAAACTTTATTTTATAAATTTATTTGGTAAGATTGAGTTAGATTAAAAGTTTATTTCTATCTTAACATAGTATTGATGTATATACTTCGATAGAAAAAAAAATGTATTAGCAGTCTTATATCTATTAGAAATAAAACAAATGTAGAATATATTTAAAAATATAAATTTTATTTTACAAATTGATTTTATGGAATTTACTTAAACTTAAAATCCACGTTTTAACAAACCATAAAATATCATCATAAATCTATAATGATAGGAAATGTAAAAATGATTTTGCCATCACTTAGATCAGCTATTTGTTGTTGTTTTTAACCTCTGTTTGTCCTTGAACTTGTTCCAATATTATCCGAAACAACATTGGTTTATGATCAAGTCCTTCTGCCTTTGCACATGAATATTTGGTGACCAAATCGAGCAAGTCCCTGCACTTGGTATTGATGGTTGTAAGGTCTGAGTGCAATACCTCATTCTCCTTCTTGAGTCGCTTGTTTTCATGCATCAGAACTGCATAATTTGAAGAAAAGGTTGATGCTAAGGACCTTTGATCTTCATCTGAGTCTTGTGGTCCATGTTGCTTCTTGCTCACCCATGATTTTTTACGTCTAATCTCGCATAACAGTTCTTTCTCACCCTTTCTGAATCGCTCGTTGCAAAATTCCCATCTGCTTGTTCTAACTTTACGAAAACCCTAAATATGGATCATCAATTGGTGCATGTGTTTTTGGAGTTAACATGTAAAGTTATTATCTCTAACAAATCTAATTAACGAAACTACATTTACTTTTTTAAATTAAGAAAAAACATTCAACAATTTTTATAAATATTAAACTAAAAGATCTATTAAGTAAAAAATAATAAAATGTGATAAGAAGAGATATATAATGAGAGATCATTTTTTATTTAATGTTAATTTCATCGTACAAAATTGACTATGAAAGGAAAGACATGTTTTACTTATGTATTTTATCTTGATTATATCATTAAGTATTTTCAAAGTTTTAACCTCATACATCTTACGTAAACAAATTAGTTATCTCAAACATCAAATATATTACATTATACATTTGTAAGTGGTTTCATCATGGAACAATGATCCAAGAAACTCAACAACAGTCATCTAAAAATAAACTTCAATAAATTGGTATATAATATTTTTTTACCACTTTCATATTTTAGTTTAAGTATATAATTGATTAGGTTAAAATTTATAATATATATATATTGATATAAACTAACACTCCTTTTTCTTAGGACACTAACACTCTGAAGTACAATATATTAATACATTCCTCGTGTGTATAATATAGTAAGTATATCAATTTATACTATGAAGGTTAGCTATCACTAGCTGTAAAATGAATTATCTATTGGTACAATGGATCATATTGTTAATACCTAATACATACAATACCTAACTATTTAGTTTGAGTAAATATTATCTAAAGAAAGAGATATAATATTTTTATGACAAAATATTTAATATTTGTTATCTAAGAAGGTGGAGATATAATGCGAGGAGATAAAATATAATGTCAAATCTTTTGATTATGTCATTTTTGGTAATATAAATCTAGAGGCCACCTACCATAACTCAGGTGGTTGGTATAAGTAACTGAGTAAGGTGTTCATTAATAAAGGTCATCAATTCTAGCTGCCTAATTTCTTTGAAAATACACCAAAACAATCGTCCCTACAACTTGAAATTATATTTTATTTGTCAAGTACAATTGTAAAGAACAAATCTATAAGGTCACTAGATTATAGTTTTAAATGGTTTTGATCTCACCATTTTAAAAAAAATAAAAATAAATTATAGATGAATATTAGGTAGTTAGACACTAGTTAGTCTTGGAAGTTTCATTCGACTAGAGACAAGGTCACTTTATAGTTTATAAATGGATGCAAACTTTACCTCCGAGATTGAATTAAGTTTAAAGTTCACTTTTAACGGTTACACGTGAAGATTGATAAGACATACTTAATGAATATAATTAACTTTGAATGTTTTTGTATGGATATGACACATCAACATTAATTGTGTTAATGTTTCATTTTTTAATAGTTACATTACATTAATATATTCTATTTCTAAATTAATGTTGGTTTAAAATAAAAGAATTTAATTTTGATACATTTTAAATATAAAGAGTTTGTTGATTTCTTAAAAGTAATTATAAATATAACTTTTATTTAACAATATTATCGTACATAAATACATACTTGAACGAGAGTGTGAAACAACTTAAAGTCGTTTTAATTAAATTAAAGTAAAATACTTAAAATTGAATATATGTAATAGAATAATACAATTAAAATAATAATACTAATAATATTTAAAATTCATAAAACCCTAGTTAAAATAATATTTAGTTTAGCCAAAAGGACTACTTTGACTATAGTATTATATAAAGAATTTTTTCAGTGGTCCTTTTGATCCAACAATATTTTAATTAAGACACTAAACTTAATACTAATTAGGTCAAACAAATGCAGTTAATATGTTTCTATCATCAAGAACTCATGGAAACAAATAAAATTATCTTTATTTCTTTATTCGCTAAAAGCTTCTACAGTGGTCAACTTATTCACCAACCATCGATAGCTACGTTCCTTTCGCTTTTATTCAACTCATTCTTCTCTTATTTCTAAATTTGATGTTCTTCGTGTTGTTTTAAACTGTTGTAATAACTAAATAATGCTATAAATTTACTTAAAATTTTGTTAATATAATAATACTTCACTTGTTCCAAAATAACAGTTTTAATTATACAAAAAAAAAAAAACTCAAAATACATTATTAGTAACACATTTTCTAAGACATTCTCACTAATACACATTTTATGATTGATTCAAAGATATTAAGCTACTAAGACTTAGTTAGTGATTAGTAAGAGTTAGTAAAATTTATAAAATTCAACCAAAATAGTAAACTGTATATATATACTCTCCCTCTATAACATCTGTAATTTCAGCCATTGAAAAAAAATACAATAATTGAGTAATATTTAGAGTTTAATGTTTCAAATTGATTCATGGTCTTCTTAAAATACAGTATTTTTTTTTCATTGAGAAAGTGATGTATATTATTTAATATTGTTGTCATAAACATGTGTGAAAGAATGTTAAACTAGAATAATTGACTATTAACAGCGGAAGTGTGTGTGCATGTTGTTGCTAATATTTGTGATACGGATATTAAGATACGTACATAAGTATTGAGCTGGCGAACAAAGCTAGAGAAGTTGCAATGGTTGAAGAGAGTTGGAAGAAGATCACGAGCAAACTCTGCAGGTTGCAACACCACAAACGTTGTTCCGTCATCATTCCACGACACAACATCATTGGTCGTAGGATCCTCAACCAACATATATGTCTTCAACAAAAAGGGTGCTGTGGAGAATTTTCTGACACACTCCAACGACCCTTTCTCCATTTTTGAGAATGATTTGAGAAGAGATTGAAGAAGGTTGATGAGAGTTTGTGATCAGAAGAGAAGAAGGGCAGTTATGAACTCCCAATCCCAGCAGTAGAAACCCAACACGACTCCACAGTTCATGAGAAATGCAAGACCTTCTTCCTTCTTCTCTCTCTCTCTCTCTCTCTCTCTCTCTCTCTCTCTCTCTCTCTCTCTTAAATAATCCCTCCGCTACATGTATTACTACTATATACAACTCTTTCTCAACAAAATTTCTTATTAATATTATAATTTTATTTAAGTATGATAGGTTGAGATAGTAGTTGGACATTCGTCATTGGGAAGATGACCTATTCCGTAGAAAATAATTTTATTTATAAAAATTCGTTAATTAGCTTAGCAGAAATATCGTAATAATTGACATCATAAAAGTAAAAAAGAAAAAAAAAATATATTAATTATCATAGACATTTAAGATATTATTAACATAAAAAAATTAAGTTTTCTATCAATTTTATTGATCACTTAAAGTGATAAAAAAAAAATAAGAAGACTGTTCTAATATTCAGTTTGAAAAATAAGAATTTAAGTAATAAGTCAGGAGGACATGTTATCCTGATACAACTAAAATTGAGTTTTTATAACTTAAAACTCCAAAAGATTCTCACAAAAAGAAATTTCATTTTCTCATTAAATTCATATATACATCATTTATATTATAAACAACATCATTTTATATGATGAATTAGGTAAGTCTCTCTTAATTCCATTTTTAAATAACTACTTTTTTATAGGATGAATTAGGTAAGACCCACTAATATTATTTAATTCCTATTACATGAATATTTACTATAGTTAATTAAAACTTATGAAAAAAAACTCAAAATATTCATCAAAATTGTGATAAAAATGATGAAGAAAATTCAAAAGACTCTTTATGATCATGTTATTATCTTTTTATTCACCTATATTCGTTCTTAAATGTCCAGAATATATTTCTTCTAAGGAAAGATAATACCATATTTAAAAATAATTTTTTATTAGTTTTCCAATTGAGAATTCGTGCATATACCGTTAATTAACTCACCAAATAATAGGTTGTTGGAACTTCTCACTAAAAGCACTTCTTCAAATGGTTATGGAGAAAAGAGTAATATCTATATAAAAAGTGTGGTAAAAAGCTGACAGAAGAGTATTTCCTAAGGCGTGTACCTTAAGGACTTATCTGCGATGTATTGTGCAAGTCCTTCAAGATACAATCGAAACTTCCCAGAACATTTCTGAGGGTCTCAGAACTAGCAAGTATATCTAAAAAGAGTATAAAAAATAACTCAGAATAATTTTAGAAGAGGAAAAGAGAAAAATGATGAAACTAAGAAGAGAAGAAGATGAGAGAAGATAGATTTTTGGTGTGTTTTGGAATGGAGGAAGAGCTCTCTATTTATAGAGCTAGGGAAGAATCAAGAAAATAAAAGAAATTAAAAATCATAAATGATTTAATTAAAAATTTTAACGTTGCATAATAATTGTTTCTTTTTCTCGTTGCCAACATTCTAAAACAAACGTTCAAAAACGTTTTAACTTTTGCAATGTTGTTAAAATATTATAACAATCCCCCACATATTGCAAAAAAAGTTGAAAGAAAAAGTCTTTGACTCAAATAGTTCAAACACTAAAAGAAAGATAAGAAACTTTTATCCTGGGTCTCATAGGATGTAATGCATCCAAACTGGTAGAGCAAGCTATATGAACCAGTCTTATATTGAGATACTTAACACATAATGTAGTTGGTATAACAAGCTATATGAACCAAAGACACTTAACGTGTGTTAGAGGTTTATCAATCACAATACACTCCCACAATCTTGCTGTTATTGCTGTGTTGCGCTTATTAGGCCATGCGCGTGCCCGATATTCATGAGTGCTCTAGAGATCATGCCAAGATCTCATGCAAGCGGCCCTACTTAACACTCATATAGGTGATTTCATCAAGTGTATGCTGCAAATCATACACCACCCATAAGGGATATGAAAATCATTAAAACTTTGTTTCAGACAAAATTCTATCACCGTATAGAATTTTAATGACAAAGTTTAGCCTCTCAATATTGCAGTCTCTAGCACTTTCACACACACCATAGGAAGGGACATAATTGATTAAAATCAATTTAGTGCTATCAGAACTAACAAGTGACTTGTTTTTACCCATATGAACCTTATTCATGGGATCTCAAATCACAAGGTTGGGTTACCATCACTTGTTTGTTTGCAAGTGGCTTAAGTTTCATTCCCCTCGATGTTTCTAATATCATTTGTCTTTCCAGGGGTTTTGTCAGAGGATCTGCTAGATTCCGTTCTGACTTCACATAGTCAATGGAAATAGTTCCACTCTTTAGCAGCTGCTTCACCAAATAATGTCTCAATTGTATATGTCTATTTTTTCCATTGTAATTCTTATTTTTAGCTATAGCTATTTCCGATTAGCAATCACAGTGTATTCATACCGATGGAGTTGGTTTCATTCCTAGTGAAATGTTCGCTAAGAAGTTTTTCAACCACTCAGCCTCATTACCAGCCATCTCAAGAGCAACAAACTCAGATTAAATTGTTGATCTTACAATAATTGTTTGCCTGGCTGATCTCCATGTAATCGCACCACCCCCAAGTGTGAATACATAACCACTAGTGGATTTTGTCTCATCTGAATCAAAGATCCAGTTAGCATCATTGTAACCTTCTAGTACAATGGGAAATCCACTGTATTCAATGACATAATCTATTGAACCTCTTAATTATCTCATAAGCCTAGCAAGTGCATCCCAATGTTCCTGATTTGGACATTAAGTATACCTATCAGGTCTAGAAAAGCTCATCAAGTGCAGTAAGCTCCCAATTATCTGGGCATACTGAGGCTGAGATAATGATTGTCCTCTATTTTTTATTAATTTGGAGTTAGCATCATAAGAGTTACTCACGAATTTTAGTTCATAAAACCCAAACTTCTTTTGAAGTTTTTCAACTTATTGTTCTTGGGATAGTAATATTCTATCTCCCTTCCTTATGACTCTAATACCTAAAATCACATTAGCTTCACCCATGTCTTTCATTTCAAATTTTGATCCTAGAAATAATTTAGTTCTACCCACAATCTCATTGCATGTACCAAAAATTAACATGTCATCCACATATAAGCATATAATGACACAATCACCATTTTCAAATTTTGAGTACACACATTTATCAGCATCATTAGGTGAAAAACCATTATAAAGCAACATATTATCAAGTTTTTCATGCCATTGTTTTGGTGCTTGTTTTAACCCATACAAGGATTTTAAGAGTTTGCATACTTTATCCTCTTGAACAAGTACAACACACCCTTTAGGTTGAGTCATATAAATTTCTTCCTCTAAATCACCATTCAAGAAGGTTGTTTTAACATCCATCTGATGTATCACTAGTTTATGGATAGCTGCTAGGGCTAACAACACTCGAATAGAGGAAATCCTAGTCACGGGAGCAAAAGTATCAAAGTAATCTATGTTAGGTTTTTGAGTAAAACTTTTTGCTACTAAACTTGCCTTATACTTCTCTATGGATCCATTAGGGTGATATTTTTTCTTTAAGATCCACTTACAACCAATGAGTTTTGCTCCTTTAGACAAATCTACTAAAGTCCAAGTATTGTTTTTCTGAATTGATTCAATTTCAATTCTAATGGCCTTATCCCATTGTTTTGCATCAAGAGCACTAGTAGCTTCTACAAAGCTTGTTGGATCATTATCAACAAGATAAGTATAAAAGTCATCTCCAAAGGAAGTTTCCTTTCTCTGTCTTTTACTTCTTCTAAAATCCTCATTCATGGTATTACTATTATCATTATCATCAACAGGTTGAGACATCTCACTAACCTTTAAGGGAAACACATGTTCAAAAAAATCAGCAATTTTCGTCTCCATTATAAAATTTCTCTCAAGTATGTTACTTTTAACAACTAGAAACCTATAGGCAGCACTATGTTAAGCATAACCTAAGAACATACAATCAAAGGTTTTAGAACCTATTTTCCTTTTCTTAGGATCAGGTAACATCACCTTAGCTAAGCACCCCCACACTCTTAGATATTTAAGGTTAGGTTGGTAACCTTTCCACAACTCATAAGGAGTTTTACCAGTTTTCTTATGGGGTATTCTATTTTGTAAAAAACATGCAGTAAGTAAGGCTTCTCCCTAAAGGTTATCAAGTGCACCAGAACTAACAAGCATAACATTCATCATTTCCTTAAGGGTTCTATTTTTTCTCTCAACTACTCCATTAGACTTAGGTTAATATGGTGGGGTTACTTCATGAATAATACCTTCTTTAACACAAAATTCATTAAACAGTACATACTCACCACCTCTATCTGATCTAATTCTCTTAATCTTCTTATTCAATTGATTTTCTACTTCTGCTTTATAGGTTAGAAACACATTAAAGGCTTCATCTTTATGTTTGATTAAGTAAACTTTGGTGTATCTAGAATAATCATCTATAAAGGTCACAAAATAATTTTTACCTCCTCTAGACATAGTTTATTTCAAATAAGCTAAATAAATATGAATTAACCCTAAAAGTTCAGTTTGACGTTCTACAGAAAAACATGTTTTCTTTGTTAATTTAGATTATACACATATATCACATTTACTACTTTGTTTATCATGCATATTAATTAATCCTAGTCATTGTAATTTCAAAACATACGAGGAATTCACATGACCTAATCTAGAATGTCATATATCATACGAGTCAACAATATAAGCAGAAGAATTTGATTCCTTAATATTTTCAAAAATATTTAGAACGAAGAGTCCTTGATCACAATATCCCTTCCCCACGAAAACATTATTTTTTGTCATAATGATCTTGTCAGACTCAAAAGACACTTTAACCCCCACCTTTCCCATAGTGTTACAGAGATTGAATTAACTTTGATTGATGGCACATGTAACACATCACTCAAGGCCAGAGTCTTTCCAAATGCGAGCTTAAGAAGAACTTTCCCTTTTTCAGAACAGGAGTGGTCTTGGAATCTCCGAGGTAGGCGTGTTCTTCTTCATCCCCTACACTAGTGTAAGAGGTAAAGACACTTATGTTTGCACAGATATGCCTGGTAGCACCAGAGTCTACCATCCATTTGCTCACAT